GTTTCTTCAGTAGAACACAAACGAAGATTTTTAACTCAAACCGTTGCAGTCTGTCAGTCATTTTAGTGTCAGGGTTTAATTTGGTTTTGTTTGTGTATGTTTTATGACTCTCGAAGCCGTTATTCCCATCCACTTGCATTATAGGACTGACAGACTGCAGCGGTTTGACTTAAAAATCTCCGTTTGTGTTCTACTGAAGAAACAAAGTCACCTACATCTTGGATGCCCTGGGGGTAAGCAGATAAACATAAAATTTTAATTTTTGGGTGAACTATCCCTTTAAGAAACTTCTCAGAACATCCTAACCGCATACTTCTAGTATAAGCAAGCAAAAACATGGTCAAATCAGAAGTGCACAGGCAGATACATACAGACTGTTCCAGTTAAGTGTTGCTCCTGTAGCTTTATGATGCATCAGCGCTGTGTGTGTTTGCTGCCATTCTGTAGGTGGTTACCCTGTGGCATTAGAGAGTTAAGTGTGTGTGTGTGTGTGTGTCCTGTCTCTAACCAAGCAGATCAGTATATATATATATTAAAGCAATAAGTCCCAAGAAGCCGTGGTTTACAGTGCATTTATAACAGCTAAGGGGCGTTGTTAGGCACGACGTGAATGTAGTTCCTCATAAACGGTTGTGGTTCCAACAAAGTGGTTGCCGAGCAACACACGAATGTACAACACCTTTGTCATATTATATTTTTATATTAATATTAATATTTTTTGTTAAATATTAAAAATGTTAAAATGTTAACAACTTTGTGTGTTTTTGTCATGACTTATTATTATTATTTTAAATTTGTCAGTGTAGTTTTTATTCATTTTTACTTCAGTTTTAGGTATTTTAGCAGCACAAAGTTAAACTGAATCAAAATAAGAAATGTTGCCTTGGCAGCTATAGCTGAAATAAAATAACTTTATATTGTAATATTTTATTTCAGTTAAATGAATTTTATTTCAAGTGCTATACCTTTTTTACAACAAATTTAACATAATGTATTTCTTACAGTGATCACTTTATATAAATTACATATTTATATAAAGTATATCAAACATGATTAATTTAGCTTGAAATTACACAATTATTAACCCTTAAACACCTTATTTGTCTGATGGAATATAAATATCTTACAGAAATGGAATTGAACAAGCTGTAAAATGCACAAGCTGACCAGTGAGAGAGAGAAAACGCGAGGTGAGGGAGAGATAAAGAGAGGATGGCAGAGGAAATCTCCAGCAAACCTACGCGGAGAGCAGAATAATGTGTGTGTGGTGTGAGAGAGTGGGTGCAGACGACCCTTCAGAGGGAAAAAACAGATGAGTAGATGAAAAACAGCAGATAAGGATGATGGGAGATTTTAACACTAAGCAGTACAGATTTAAAGCCCTTCAATGCCCCAAACACACACACGCACACGCTGGCAGTTTAGTCTGTGAGCGAGCGGCTGCTCCACGCAGCTGATCTTTCAGCAACAGACTAAATATTTATGGTGCTCGTGCTCAGAGGTGAATTATTCAGGACTCTTACAGACCCTGCAGCCAATAGAGACTTTCAGAGATCAACTCCGTCACCAGAATAAATAAGCCTAACTGCCCTGAGGAATGTACTGGATTTGTGTGTGCCCTTCAATAAACGCTTCCTATGACAAAAACGGCTTAATAAACATGCTTAATATGAACATGCAGAAAGGTTACTGTGAAGGTCAAGTTTTAGGTTAGAAACTATCATTAGCTCTGGATGAAAACAATTGAGGTCAATGGAAAATCCTCAGTGTGATAGAATAATAAGTGTGAGTGTGTGTGTGTGTGTGTGTGTGTGTACAGATTGCAGGCCGCTCAGGGCAAAGACGTAACAGCTTGTGCGGCGCTGCTCTGTCGCAGCCAACTTAAGACTTCTTTAGTCTGCTGAGATATTGTGGATTGTGCCACACAAACCATTCAAATGCTTCATCAATGTGATTTATTTATTAATTTTTTTTATTCAGCAAGGATGCACTAAATTGGTCAAAAATGGCAGTAAGAGCATTTAAAATCTTACATTTCTATTTCAAATAAATGTTGTTCTTTTCAACTTCATCAATGAATCCTGAAAAAAGGTTTCCACAAAAATATGAAGCAGCACTGTTTGCAACATTGATAATAATCAGAAATGTTTCTTG